GCAGCCCCGCGGCTCCGCCCGTTGCAACAGCCCGTTTCCTGGAAGTGCCATTTTGCAGGAATCTTTCACCCTAAGCTTGGTGCCCGACCCACTTGAGGCAACGCTAATGTGCTGCGCATGCTGTCCGCCCCCCAAAACAAAGCCAACCCCCTATGTCAGCCGCGGCTGGGACATTGCTCGGCCGTGGTCGTTTTGGCACAGCTGTTCCAAAACCACCGCAAATTGCAGCGGCATAGTCATTGTGACCTATTGGGTAGTTCTCTAAGGTCCCTTAGTGGGGGTCCTTTTCATAAGGGTGCCGTACTATATTCGCGACCCTGATTTAGAGAACTACCCAGATGCAAAATCATGATAAGGAACACTGAAAAGGTTTTCAAGAAAATGCTTAAGCCTTGAACATGTTACATCCCAGGTGAGGGGTATCCTGTAGATTCGTAGTTTACCTGTGGTATGGGCTTTGGGTCAGAATCTCTCCAGAGCTTGAAGGCTCGATCTTACCTTCCGATTCTCCCACGATGTGCCTTCGCCCCGTCGTCCCCGAGATCGTTGACGCCTAGATGAAGGACCTTCAGCGCGGCGAGGCCCTGGAGAGCGGGCGCCAGGGCCTGGCGGCAAAGTGGCTTTCGCGAGCGAAGGGCCTTAGACACCTAGATGGGTCGTCGTGGTGACAATGCGGTATGCCCTAGAATCCTCTGCACCCGCTTTGCCTGGAGATCTTGGTAAGACAGAACTCTTCCCCGGCCTTGGCACCCTTTGAACCGATGTTGTTGTAGACAAGGCCCAACTCCTCGAGCAAGGGCATGCCCGTGAGGGACTCCGCCAGAGCCTGGCCGGCTCCGACGTGTGGAGCACTTCCAGGTATGCTGGAAGCCACAAACGTGTGCACTAGTAGCAAGCTCAGGGTCTGAACTAGAGTGCTGACAACTCGTGCTGTCGGGTGTCCCCGCTTCGGTCGCTTCCTTGCAGCAGCAGGTGTCTACAGCTACTCCGAGTTCTTCACCCAAGATGGGATCGAGGAGAACCTGAACGCCTTCCATGTCGACAACACGATGTGTTGGAACTGTTCATATTCTAAACATATCATAGCATCACGTCGCAAGAGATCCGCAGCGAGGCTCCAAACCCCCGCACGCATTCGAGGCTCAGCACGAACCACTCAGGATCATCAGAATCTCCCCAGAGCTTGAAGGCTCGATCTTAACTCCCGGTTCTCCCACGACGTGCCTTCGCCCCGTCGTCCCCGAGGTCGTCGAAGCCTAGAACAAGGACCTTCAGGGCGGCGAGGCCCTTGAGAGCGGGCGCCAGGGCCTGGCGGCGAAGTTGCTTTCCCGAGGGAGGGGCCTTACACATAGATGGGCCGTCCTGGCGACACAAGGTTCACTGAACCAGCACAGAACTAAATGCCCTGCCTGCATTCCTTCTGGACCGATGAAGGTGCATTCTAAGACCAGCTCCTCAAGACCAGACCTTCCATCCAGGGCGAAGCCGAGGGCCTAGCCAGATGCAAAGGGCTCAGGCAGTGCCATAAGTGCCAGTGTCTCCTTACACTAGGTTCATCGAACTCTTGGACATGTGTCCTAAAATTTTAAAGGAATTTGCTGCTGTAGACGAAGGGTGTAGAATGCCGTCAAACACCTACCTCCCACAGCGAGTCGTTGTCGGATTTGTAGAGGCTGTAGAGTACGAAGCTCTTCAGCGCGACATGGCCCTCGAGGGCATACGACACGGCCTGGCAGAGAAGCGCGAGACCGCACCCAGGCAAACGAGACCCACGGGGCCTCGACATCCCCTAAACCCTGAACCCTAAACCCCACCGCCTCGACATCATCACACCCGTGGATCTGTAAGACCTGGAGCCCAGACTGGCCCTGCAAGGCCGCAGCCAGCTCCTGACAAACGCAGGAAGAAAGGCTGGAAGTTGTGCTCTCGCCAGAACTGGCAGCAAAATGAGCTGCCGTCACGATGCCTTGCAACTTGCTCGTTTGTTCCAAAAGATCTCGACGTGGCCATCTCGGAGAGCCTGCCGGACCTTTCGAAAGGGAGCCCTCTAGTTCTGCTGACACGGAGGCCCCACGCGCGGAGCTGCACCTCCTGCGCTTTGTCATGAGCAGTCGACGTACCGTGTGCCACCACCACGTCCATCAGCCTGAAGCACCGACTCAGCTGTTCGGCAGCCTCGGTGTTGCACACACGGAGGGCTGTCCACACTAGGGTACGGGGCACAGCCCGGCCTGGCCTCCGCCCGATCATCCCAGTCTAGGTTCATAAGGTTTCCGGAGATGTGGAGCTGAACGGCCGCATGTCGCGTGCTGGAGGCCAGAGCCTGCATGTTTGGTGGGCCCTTGACTGGAGCACCACATGCCCTCTAAGGTCCTAGCCTCCAGTCCTTTTGTGCCGATGCCGTTGGCCACGAGGTTCAGTCGTTCGATCGCGCAGCGTTCAGAGTTGAGGCATTCTGCCACGACCTGGCAACTGAGGCGACGCACGAAGAAGAGAGGTGCCTTGCATTGCCGGCCTTGGCCCCCACATCCCCCAAGGCGTTGTGGGCAGCACGGAAGTCCTTGAGGGTCTTCGTACGGAGAAGCTTCTGCAAGGCCTGAACATGCCGAGGTGGCGTTTGATGCATCGGAGCATGCGACTGCAGTACGTCTTACTTCTGTGCGTGAATACAGCCGATCGAACATAACTCAAGGCAGACAACATGTGCGACCTACCAGCTTTTCCCTACAAACACACGCCGCACCCCCGTCGGGCACAAATCGGCCAGCGGAACGACAACATCCGCCCGAAAAGCGAAACCGAGCGCTAGAAAGGCATAATGGTGGACGCTCCCGCGGCTCGATATCCGATACCACATCATCTACATGGCACACTACGCTCTGCAAGGTTGACTACACCCCCCTCCCAGCTGATACAAAAATTGGTTCACGAAGCCGCAGCTTCGATGTGGCTCTGGAGCGGTGACAGGGAGCACAGAGCAGATCTTGCGTCTTCTACGAAATCAGCACTGCATGGAGCCGACTCGCCGACTCAACGGTAGAGAGTCTGCCGGGACAAGTACATGCTGCCGCTGTCCAGGCCTCGGAACCGTCCTCCCCAATTCCATTGGATCCCACATCGATAATCTCCACAGGCGTCTCCGTCTCGACCAGCGCCTCTGCCAAGGCCTGCGGGAAAGGCGGTGTCAGCACAGTTCAGAAAGCTTTTCCAGCCCAGCCTGGAAGGCGGCTGTGCCCAGGTCGTTGCCGGCCACACTCAGCTGACGGAGGCTTTCTTTGCGCTGGGCTGCGGTGACGGCCTCCGTGATGAGGCACCAGGCTAACAAACCGCTCTCGGCTCATTGCAGGCCTTGGCAACTGCACCCGCCAAGCTGTTCTGGTCGGCTCGGAAGTCCGTCAGAGTCGCGATGCTCAGGACCGTCTTCAGGGCCTGCATGCAATGCACTCGGAAGTAATGCGCTTGAAATCTGTGTGCAAGACAGGCTGGCTCCAACGAAACATCAGAACAACAAATAAGTAGCTGTCAGCGATAGCTGTTCGAACGCAGAACCTACGACATGCCAGCGGAGATCCGGCAAAGCAGCACCGAAGCAAAGACAAAGGATGGCAACTGGAAGTGGCCATCCGCTGTGACTAACTTCGGTCGGGTCTTGAGCAATTCGGACCATGCCCGGGTTCCAGCCGAGCATCAGAAGCCAAAACACGATAACACCACGCTTCCTGATCGAAGCTGAATCTAAATCTTTCCAAGTTCTGCAGCATGTATGACAGGGCTTCTCCTTGATCTCAATCACAAGTGCAGTTTGCAAAGTGGTCGTGCTTGTCTGTCACCGGTTCAAGGGCATCGGCTGACCGTTGGCTAAATTGGTAAATCATGTGACCCAGCAAATAATTTTCCATTGTCGAGGCTGGGCACGGGGCATGCAGTAGGTGCAAGGACCGCAAGGACCTGTCGAAGTCACTTTGCCCCTCTCCGACATCTTCTGTGACGAAAATGGACCGCATCAAACCAAGAAGTGTACCAGGTACCGTCGAAGCAGGGTCCGCACACAAGGATGACACGCCATGAACATGGCTCATGCAAATCTGAACTCAGCCTTGAAGACTTTTCTGGGCTCTTTCCAGGGATATCTAGGTGACTCTCAGATAAGACCTGATAAGATCCCAGAATAAGCCTCAAGACCGTCCGACTGTATCAATAATCACCGATGCCCAATCTCGAGAACGACATTCCCAAACACATCTTCAATGACAGCTCTGTCTGGCAGAACGAGAGATTCACACCACAATGGCCACTGTATCTATATATTTAGCGTCATTGTGATACACTTGCTGCAGACAGTCTCCCGAGCTTCGAAGCAGCTGCGCCTGTGCACGTCTGGCAAGGTTTGGGCATGATGCGGTTGCTCATACCTCCTGAAATTCCGACGTAGTTGTCTTAACGAGTGATCTTCGCATATCTTCGCGCCCAATGGCCGACCACTCGGATGAGCTTCAGCTTCGTTGGCAGCATCAACAGGAGCTTCCCGTCCCGACAAAGGCGATGAAAGGTTGACAGCATGGAGAACGCTGCGACTCGCAACACTTCACTCATTTTGCTGCCTTCTGACAGGACAAGGTTTTGCAAACCGAAGCTCCTTACGGCAGGAGACCTCATGTGATGGCTAGCCCTTACGACCCTACACCTCAACACGATGCCACGCCGGCCTCAGTACAGTTCGGCCCGAGATCGTTGGAGCCCACGTCCAGAGACTCCAGCAAGGAAGTCTCAGCCAAAGCCTCTGCCAAGGCCTGCGAGAGAAGAGCGAGAGCCTAAGCTGCACTAAAGGGTCTACGGTTTCTGCTTTAGGGTTTAGGGCGAACCCAGCCTGGAAGCCGGCCGCACCCAGGCCGTTGCCAGCGACGTCGAGGTGCCGAAGGCTTCGAATGCGCACCAGCGCCTGCAGGGAGCCAAAGACAATTCGGCCGAAAGTATGGCCCTGTGAAAACGCAGCACAGCGCCTGCATGCCGGTGGTTCCAAGACAATTTCCCGACAGCTTCAAGTCGATGATGGAGCCGTTGGCAGCGATGCTGGCGGCCAGGGCCTGTCAGCTGATACCGGGCCCCAGTTCACAATGCCGGTCACTGCAAGTCCGGAACGTGGACAAAGACCCTGCGCCCTGCGTTGCTGCCTGACCCTCCTCTGCTCCGAGGTCGTTCCTGGAGAGATCTACCTGTCAACGGCGGACAGGCCTATGGGCACATGGCAGCCCTGTACCAGGCTCAAGCCAATCAGAAGAAGGAAGCAGGGGCCTCGTCCAAAAAAACTGCCTTTTTCAGGAAGCTGCACACGGCCTGAGGACAGGCACGCTGACCACAACTCTGCTCTGGTTTACAGTCAACGATCAAAAGATTGGGCTGATTCTGCTTCTTTAGTGCTTCCAAGACGAGCCTGGAACTCCAAAGCATCGCCGCGCATGTCTCGGTCGTCCAGAACAAGGCGCGTGCCCTTGGAGGCTGCCAGCATCAGCATCTCCTTCAGGAGCTGGATGTACCGTAGTTCCCTGCTCTCGTCCCCTGCACGGCATTCGCAAAAACTGTGACTGTGAAAACGCCAGACAAGCACAGCAAGGGGCCTGCCATGGACTCTAACGAGTCCAGGAGCTCAGGCTCGCCATCGAAGACGGAGAGGACACGCACGACATGCGCCAGCAGCTTTGGAGCCCGGTCGAAGTCCGCCTTCTCAAGGATTTTACTCTAACTAACTCGGCTCAAGCATGGACGTCACAGCAAGCGCAGAGCATCCCTGCAATTGAAACTCAGGGTTGCCCGGGCCTCTTTCCAGAGTCGTCCCACGGTCAAGGAGTCTTCGTCTTTGATGGCGGACTTCAATTTCTTCACGTACCAGGGCACTACGGCTTGGCGAAGGCGTGGGAAGAGAGCCCTGGC